ATATATGTTTGAGATATCACGCGGGTGTCTTATATTCCAGCTTCATTAAACAGCTACAAATCCTCGAGCTGGGCTAGCCAGTGTAGTAGTGGTGGGTGCCGCGGCAGGTGTTGGGCAGTTGGCGCACGATGCACTGGAGCGTATGGCTATCAAGAAGCATATCAAGGTATGTTGTATCCTTGTGTAGCGATAAAAAAATCCTTCAAAATACATCAAATATTTGTGTGCGATGTAATTTACATGGTGCACGCCACAATGTGTTATGTGTGTAGCATTCTGCTATATAGTAGCTTAACTTCGTCCAGTATGTATCGAGATTGTTTAGTATAGATGTATTTGGATGCATATTATGTGCGTGTTTGTGTGCGTGTACGACTACTTTTGAACGAGACACCTAATGAGAGCTAAAGGGCTTTGGTCGAGCATAGGCTCCGCGATTTAGATTCCGTCGAGTGCTTGCCTGCCTTGCTCTGGGATATTACCCTCTAGTAAGAATTTCTGTGGCCCTGAAGTGAAGTTCGCATGAACATGTTTCATACGCCTGTGTCCGTGTATGTGTATCGAAATCGTGTAATCTCATTCTGTTTGTTTGTAAGTGTGGCTGTAGTTGTATGATTGCGTGTCGTATTACAGGATGAGTAGATCAGGCAATTGACCTAATGATGTAGAACATGATGAGCGTTAAACTATATCTCAATGGACGCACATACACGTGCATAGCTGTTACCAGAGTGGACTGAGTATTTTGTGTTCCGTATTCGCACAGAGTGTACTGTAGTTGGGCAGGCATATCTTATAGCCAGGCTATCGTACACATTAGCATTGGTCTCTATTCTACATAGCGCTAGTCAGCACTTTGTGGTAGAATACAGATTTCAAATCGACAAGCTGCAATACTACACTCACTCATCAGATATTGTAACCTAACAATATCTCTGCATTTTGGGTTTCGCACTAGAATCGGTTCCCAGAGCACTTCAAGAAGCCAGAGGTCAAGCCCGATCATGGACTACACACAGCCAACGTAAGTTGTCTACATTTAAGAGTTCCATGCCTATTGTGTGTAGTATGTGGTTGCATTCAGTAGACGAGTCCCTGTTATTATGCCAGATCCGTCATGTCCACGTCTATACGCACCAAGCTGATGAAACTGGTCGGATGTTCTCGATGGCACATGCTGTAGTCAGCGACACGGCCCTACTTATCGCACAACCATTGAGACTTTGTGTGTGCTGTAGCTGCATCTCACGCTTAAATAACATAACTCAATCCCAGAGTAGCTGTCTAGGCTGCATCGCATACTATAGGAGCGCTCGCGAAACTGTTTGCGGCCCATATTGTGGCTGACAGGCCATTGACAGTACTTTAAACTATCTGGGTATTGTACACGCTAATATTACTATGTGACGGATGCCGGACATGGATCTCACGGGATTTGATGAGTGCTTGACACAAGTCTGTGGATTGTCATCTGATTGATGTGTGGGTACAAGCATTTCTGGATCGGCTTTGTTCAAGCTCGTGAATTCAGTGCGGCATTATGTATGCAGCCATATCCTTTTGTTTAAATAGGTGGGGCCTAGACATCCGCGAACTCCAGATCAGTTCATCAGAGCAGCTCTTTGCTTGAGCACCATCGTATTCTATCACTAGACACATCCCGTGAAGCCAATCCACCCTTTGGCGCAGCGGCATCCCGTATTCTCGATTACCGAAGTTTCGAATGAGTGCCAATGATGGCTGTGACGGTTCCCACATCGCGGCTTCCACAGCCACTTAATTAGTGTCGAACAGTTCAATATACGCTTATCACTAGTGCGAATAGTCTCACAATAGTCTCTCACTCTCTCACCGCAGCGGCATCCGTATTTCTGGACCCCAATCATCCGCAACGGGGTCAACGACTACCGCGAACACCTGCACAAGGCCATCAAAGGCCTGCTGGAAGAGCACGAGGGTCTGCGAGTGGTGTGGCAGGACTTGAAAGATGCGGATGAGCGCGAAAAGGAGACGGGGACAGGAGTTGGGACAGAGACAGGGGAGGCTTAGCTAGCGTGCATGGGTGTATGGTAAAGGTGGTTGTCTAAGCACGGATGTGTGTATCTGGGTCTGAGCAGGATTAGTGTGAGCAAGTTCTGTGCAGGTTAGATTTGCATGCGGCGATCATGTGCTGTGCTTGCATGGCGAGATGAGTTGTAGAGTTATCGATGATGTAGGCTTGTAATGTGAGGAAGCACATTCCATGATTTAGAAATCCGGGCCTGATCCATTCGGGATATGCTTTTTCGACGAAGGTTATCCGATTGGTGTACACTTGACCGATATATTTTGTTTAGACTAGTTTAAGTTTTCTGAGCGGGTAAAAACTCCAGAGTTGTAGACGATAATTCAAGGCTAGGTTTAATTGATGTGCGGAATCACACGCCGGTATGTTGCTATCCACCGCAAGGAAGATGGATTCGTACATGCTGTATTGGCACTATCGGGATTCAGATCCCGTAAACGCGCATGTGGTAGTCGATTCGCCTACCCAAGTGAGGAAAAAGGGAGTGAGGACAAAGTGGAAGTGGTAGTAACTACAGTTTAGTCTAATTCCCAACTCACTAGAAACGAGACTGCGATTCTCATGGGAACGTAGAGTGGTGAGCGGTACAGTTCAAGGAGGTTGCAATGATTGGATTATATCGCACCATTTTATGTAGCGGTCGGAGTATGGGCTGGCTGGACCGATGTCTGCGAGCAGGTGGGCGGGTCGTGTTAGAGAAAATAACACCCTGAACAAACTGCTACTTATTGTGATATCACCTGAACGCATTTAGTTTACCCCCCCCCCCCCTCCCACATATTTTCTGTAAAGTTACTTTGGGTTTGCCGTTTGAGCAGTTGCAATTGAATAGACTGCTATCTTTTCAAGCGACAGTTCTTAGTATGGAGACCAAAGAGGATTCGATTTTTTTAAAAGCCGGAAGCAATTTCGGACGGAAGTTGTAGGAAACCTCGAAGGTCACATCTCTGGGATGGGGTGGAGTCTGGAAGCCGATGATAGTTATGAAAAATGTACGCATAGTGAGAGATTTTTGCGAGCTAGCACACGACTATAGAGTAACCTAGTTTGGTTCAGCATGTGCCTTTTTTGATAGGGTAATGTCGAACGTCAGTATGCTTGGAGTAATTCAAATTGAGCGACGGGTCTTCGGCGACCGTACCCTACATCATGCAGGTTAGTATAGTCCAAGGTCTAAGGTGACATTCAGCGAGCGACGAGAATATCAGTAATTTGTACACATAACCCAGAAGCGGAGATAATCCTAGACATCTTCGGGGCATTGTTCAACCGGGTGCACGAATTGTAGGATGGGCTCTAATGTCAGAGTGTCTTCACCGCATAAAATATACTTGCCATTATTAATAGATACGACACTACCAAGTGAAGATCAAGTCCTTTATATTTTGTTAGCTTCGACTGGTGTATATTTGATCAAGATTGTAGGGGTGGTCTATTGCTATGCATTCGTATACAGTAGTATCCAACTTTAGTGATTACTTGGCATAGGTCATGTTCCTATCAGCAATATCTCTAGCGAGTACGCGATCCTGAACGTCAAACGAGCTTGAGCTTCAATACTAAATTGTTGTATTAATTCGTCACATAGGAATATAATTATGTACAGACGTGTTCTTAATTGAGTACAGATGTGCTTGATAAATGTCAACGTAAGCAACAGTTGGTATTGAAGTTACTAGAATCGAATAGTAGAAGGATAACTTTTAAGCATGAACCGTCCCAGAATCTACTTGCATGGCATGCCAACTGTGAGAACACCATACAACGCAGAAGAACAAAGTAGCAATCATTATTCATGCTATGTATGTACAGGCCACACCAAGATGTAACCTTTTTTTCCATGACCACATTTTTTAAATAGCACCCTTTATTGCAGTAAAACGTTGAACGTAAACGCAAAAAACGATCGAATTTCTATACATTTGTGTTAGAAAAAAAACGACCCCACGCCCTCGGCTATACTGTAGTAAATTTATGAAGTATGTACCGCGCGACGCATGTTTCGTGCGCCGTGCGGGTTGGGGGGGACCAAGATATTGCGCACTGACGCTGATGGCTGTGTGATCAGAATCGTACACTAGGTCTCAAGTTAGGCTCCTCTTGTCCTTCTCTGTTTATAAACATTAAAGAACTACCATGCTTCTAAGCGAGTTGGTCTGAACGGCACGACTAACCTAGTTAACATTTTACGATATCGTAGGTGACTATGTCGCATACTCACTTATTAGGTGCATCTTGTCTAAAACAAGTGCGACCGTTTGTTCCTTGGAGATCAATATACAGTGTATACGTGTCTGATTTCTATATATGTAGCAACACAAACGGGCGTCATGCTACTGCCAGATATAGGAGGGGAGTCCACACACGTGTAACATCGCACACACACACGCACACGCTGCTTTCTCCCTGTTTGCATCGTAAACCTGCTGGTTTGATGCAGCAGTCTGGAACACCACTGGGCACATGCACGATCAGAACATACAAGAATCTACACGGCAACCCTAGTCACACAGAAAGATTTCGAAAAGCACGTTTGGAAAGGGCGTATAATGGCAGTGATCAGGCGATCCCCATTAACCCTACACTGTCCAGCTTCACACGTTTGACCCAAGCGAATGTGCAGAAGGCACAGGCACTCGGGTATGATACTATGATCAAAGGCGGTGTGCTGAGGATAGGGAAAGCGCCTACTATACCCATGCCAGTCAAGCAGGCTAAACGCAAACCCAGATTAAAGGGTGGGTATGGTTTGGGTGGAATTAGCAAAGATAGCCTTGGATCCGATGCATCTATGGCAGCAGATATGAATACACAGCCAGCGAGAGATGGGACGCTGGTGAGCTTTTATGAGGCTGAGAAGCACATTAATACACTCTCGAATATGAACAAGCACGCACAGGTCATAAACATATTCGAGCAGGTAGAAGCTCTAGCTTCGCAACCAGGAAGTACCCTCAGGCCTACACTAGACACAATAAATTATGTGCTGCATGCATACAGTGCAAGGTGGTTGGGACCTCGTGCCGTGTCTCTAATGAACGCAATGGAGAGTGTTTATGGGGTTACACCAGACGTGACATCGTACAGGCACGTGATTGCGGCGTGCAGTGCAGAGGGGGGGAGTGCCTTTCAGGCCATGTACTTCTACAAGGCTATGCTGAAGGCTGGGTATAGTGCATCGGAATTGGATCTAGATTCGGGTCTGGCTGTGTTGGGTGTGTGTTCGGAGGCAGGGTTTAGCACACTGGCGGTAGACATACTGGAAGTGGTGAAGACCAAAACAAGTGACACGTTTAAACTCGGGGAGGCATTTGGTAACACTGTATCGGCGTGTGCGGTGCACGGCGACCGGCCGCGGGATGTGATTTATCTGTATGAAGAGATGTTGGAACGTGGCTATAGTGTACAGGATGCCAACCTGATCGATGCCATGATTGCATATGCCGACTTAGGGTTTGCCGACAAGACTCTGCAGTTGTACGGGCTTGTAAGTGACAAGGGCAAGAACACGACCGATGCAGTGTGGTGTGCGGCTATTAAAGCGTGCCATGATCTGAACTGGTACGAGAAAGCTCTGGGGTTCCAAGTCAAGATGTTCCGCAAGAGTGTAACACCCAGTGCGCTCACGCTGAAGTACACTATAAGTGTGCTGCATAAGGCCCACAGATGGGAGAACATGCTGTATGTTGCGGAGTTGGGGGGTGTGTGCTGGAACTCTATAAACAGGGGAATGCTCTTACTTGGATTCGACCGAATTGATCCTGAGACAGCCAACCACCTGGTGAGTGCGTTTATGCACACCGGACATTTAGATGCCGGCGAGAATGCCGTTTCACACATGAAGTCGCTTAAGATACCTTTGCTGGATGATACCAAAACACACATTCTCACAGCCCTCACCACCCTGAAGGCTTACAAACGCGTACTGCGCCTGCACGGCGAGTGGGATTCCACGCGTATGACGTATACGCCAGGCATGATGGGTGCTGTGGTACAATCGGCAGTGCGACTGAACGAATATGAACAATCGAAGCTGTTTGTGCAGAGAGCGGATGAGTACGGTATAGCCCTACCGGACGACGTGCTCGCGGAGTATATAGAGACGACTACATTTAGGAAGGATCCGCTGGAGACGTTCCGAATCTTCGACAAACTATACAGACGTGATCTACCATTTCTGAATCTGGGTACGGTGATGCACGCACTGCGGGCGGCAATCAAGCAGGTACAAGCTGCCCAGGAGAAGGGAGGTAAGTTCCGTGATGATTTGAAGTTTAAGGGATCAAGGCCGTCTCTAGCCCGTAGTGCCCGGAAATCGAAGAGTGTAGACGACAGGTCAGCTGTCGAAGGAGATTTAGTTGCTGAGTTTGTTATGGCTGCTGAGAAGGCCATTGCTGCCGAGAAGTTGGCAAAAAAAGGGTATGTTTCAAATATACCACCGAAGATTACGTTGCCCGCCCCCCAGGTGTCTACAGAGCCACTCCCACTAGTACAAAGGTCGAGCAAAGCGTCATCTACACACACGGAAGCCCTGTGCGGTGAAACAGACGGGGATGTTGCAAATCATGTAGACAACACCTCTACCGAACCCAAATTGGACATCGATCTGTATGTGGACAAATTGAATAAGATCGCTGAACGGGCTCTAGGTGTGTATAGCGAGTTCGTGCGGGCGGATGTGTGGGATGCCAAGAACAATGTGTTGGACGCACGGAAGTTAACCAAGCATGAAACCAAGGCTGCAGTGTTGGTGATAGTCAACACGGCTGCTAAGTCTGTGAATGGATCGAATAATGGAGACGAGCATGGGCTGTGCCTGGCGGATTCGACCAAAGATCTAAGAGTGCAGGTGGGCTATCCGTATAAGTATTTGGGTGCGGACCAGACATTGCTAGTAAATACTAGCGTGGGTGGCTTTCGCTATGCGACTAGAGACCTTAGGTTAGAGAGCGAAAATGAGCAGTCGGCGCTGGTCATAAAAGCTGATAGGCTGTCTAAGTGGTGTCGACAGAATCCGTGGCCAACATTCAGTAGGCAATGGAGTAGCTCTTTCGACTCAGAAGGGAAAGGTATTAATATTAATTTGAAGGAATATGCAGGCAAAGGACTTGCAGTTAATCTGGACGGCCCCGGAGAGGTGGGATGGGGCGAGAGAAAGGTGCGTGTAGGTAGTAGAGACGTGTTGGTCCCTTCGTATGGGAAGTACGGGGTTTGAAATAGGTAGATGATAAACATATGTGGCTGACTTTTGACAAAAGAGAAGAAAAAAAATGTGGCGTGTACATTCAATTTCTTGATGATGCGTGCTATTTATATACTCAACGCCACAACTACTGATGGTGATTTCCTCTGAAATGATGACTTTCTACGAAAGTGGAAGCAAAAATCTTGTACGTAGGATGATCTATAGCGTTGTACATTCAGTTTCCTGATGATGTGTGCTATTTATATACTCAACGCCACAACTAATGATGGTGATTTCCTCTGAAATGATAACTTTCTATGAAAGTGGTAGCAAAATCATGTACGTAGGATGATCTATAGCGTTGTACATTCAGTTTCCTGATGATGCGTGCTATTTATATACTCAACGCCATACCCACTGATTTTGTTGAAAGTGGTAGCAAAATCTTGTACGTAGGATGATCTATAGCGTTGTACATTCAATTTACTGATGATGCGTGCTATTTATATACTCAAACGCCACAACTACTGATCTCTGAAATGGTGCCTTTCTACGAAAGTGGTAGCAAAACCGTTTACGTAGGATGATCTATAGTGGCACCCCCTAGGCTGTTCACGTGTTTTTTCGGATCTGTGCATAGCTAGGAAAAATAGTGCCCAGGACAGTATATGGACTCCATTCATATCTCACCTTGAAATTTGTCCGTATGCACTACAGATGGATATGTCACACACTCAATCGCATACTCTTTCTATTACTTAAGCATGGTATTTGATCCTAGGTGGGGTTGTATTGCTAGTTCACACGCACCAAGTACTGAAACCAGGCGTTACATGAATGGAGGTGTGCTACTGCAATAACAGCGCGTAAAACACACCCAATCACATTCTTTCTATTCCCAATAATGTATGGTACTCGAGTTATCCTTGGGGTTGACTTGGGTTTAATGCAGTACACCACGTCTAAATAAACACTGCGACTATCCGAATGGGCGTGTGAAATTATGGCAGCTCGCTTCATCTATAATTGGCAGCGGAGGAAGACGAATGACCTACGTGGGTCTTGAATGATATAGCGGAGGGGTTTGAAGTTAAGCCTCAATTGTTTCCACAAAATTCTTGGTATTGATATGAGATTGGTTTTCAGCGTGGTCATGGTTTGCGCTCGGCTGAAGACACGTCCTTAGACGTTGAGGTACCTAAAACGTGGACACACATATGAATTGCAGATCTATAGACGCACGCGCCCAAGTATTGCTTCTGCGGAAGCGTTTTCATTGTTTTGTTTTTCATAGTTGGTATATAAGTGAAATTATCATGCACATCGCTTTCATGAATCAAGTTCTAATAACTACGACAGTTTTTCTTTAGCAATAATGAGTGCCCATAGCAGGTGTGATTAATCACGGGCGAAGATGACGGTCTCGTCAGGTGCATATTAATTGTTCTGAACGCAGATTCAGTTCGTCCTCTATATAAATACCTGTGACGAATGACAGATACATTTTCCCGGATCATAATAGTTCATATTTTGGTTACCATGACTACAATCAGTTTCATCAACGATCAGTTTTAATTTTTTTGTAAAAGCCACATTTTGAGAGATTCAAACTCAGCTGCACATGCTGTGTATAACAGCTGGCTTCGTATATTCGCCTAAAAACTTGCTCACACCTCACAGCGTCTTGTATACTCTTAACAAGTACGTTCACATCGACGACAGAAAGTCATAAACATTGCATTAGGTAAATAACACAAGACTAAAATGAGCTCCAAATACACATCTAGTCACCGACTGCGCAATTGCGTAGAGGTGATGGGTATGATTGCAGGACTCGTTGTGTTTTGTGTTATACTCACGCCGTCAATAACTTCTTTAAATATTCAAAGCACACCAGGATTCCAGTATACTGAGAAGTTGGCTGACAATAAAAATACAGATACTCAACGAGTTCATGTCATCTACCAAGCTCCACTGTCGGATCGAAACTTTAGTAGTGATCCGCAACATTCCAAGGTACGTCATGATGAAACCTAGTCAACTTATCTATTTCTTATGCCAGAAACTGAGCACAAAACCACGCATACAATAAATACACACACAAACACACACACACACACACACACACACAT